CATATCCCCCTCTTCTCGAGGCCACTTTAACTGTTTTGTAACTTAATTAATTTGCTTAATTAGTTAAGGTTTTGTAATAATTAATTAGCTAGGATAGTTAGTTAATTAGTTAGTTTATATTATTCATTCGGACCCTCCGTCAAGAGGGCGAATTTTGTAATAAGTGTGCGTGAGTGTGTGAATGTCTTCCAACCCCACGTCTTTCTCCCTTTTACTTAACCGCTTACAATGGTTAATTCTAGGTCATATTTCAATCAGCATACTTATGCTTGCATGTTTGTATTCATTCATTCGTATTGCATGCACCGAGCTCGGCGCATCATACTAACCGCATTGTATTTCAATTTCTATTTGAATACATGTTATCAAGTTGCATCTCATATAACATCTTAGAATAGCCGAGCCTATTTCTAGTTACATTTTGCATGTGTTGCATTAGTCATCTCAACATAGCTAGGATCATGCATTGATTACTAACTAGCTATTGTTTTGACTCTGTAAGAACCCACATTTTTTCATCTTAATCATGTTCATGAGCATTTGCATGATTATGACTTGTTAAGCTTGCATGTGTGTGTTGTGACTTGTTTTGCTTTAGCAAGTGAGATTCGTGCCTTGATTTGAAGCCTTGTGATTTGTCTAAGCGTAGTGTACTTGTCTTGTTCCTTCCTTGATGTTAAAACTTAGGTCACGCCTTGCCTCTAGCCGACGTTATTTCAATGCCGAGGTCTTCCTTAGTCTGGCCTTAGTATCTTGAAACCCCTTGTCGACCTCAGTCCTTGCCTTGACCACACTAGCCGAGATGTTACCATACACCCAAGCGATCTCGTCCTGGAGTGGTGCGACCTAGGCCGAGGTGTGGTGCATCTAGGCCAAGATGTGGCACAGCTTAGTCAAGTGTTGTCCTTCCTAGCCGAGGTCATTGTCACCTTAGTTGCCAAAGTCTTTTGTTAGCCGATGTCACCCCTTGCCGGAGTGCCACTCCGTGTAGCTTGTTAGATACGCCTCGTTGTTAGCCGATGTCATAGCCTGTCAGAGAGCCCATACCGCTTTGCTTGATGAACACCCTTCCACCATGCTTTGTCTGGTCTGTCAGCCACCTTTTCAGGATGAACCCAACCAGTCGCCGCCACGTGTCTCAGCAGAGGGTTAACCCCAGAACCGGGTATAGAAAACTATCATTTGGTGTCATAACCTTGTCTTGTAGAGAGAGAAGCTCTAGAAGAGGAAGAAAGAGTTTTAGAGTGAGGAAGTAGATCTTCAAGCTTGATTTCTAGAGATCCAACCGTTAGATCCGCATTCTAAGGTTAGATTCTTGATCTACTCGTGATGTTCTTTATGTTTATGTTATTGCATTGCATGATTGAAAATGATTTGTAAGCCATGCATCGTTTTGAAGCTCGATTTTAGAAAGAGAAAATGACATTCATGTGTTCTTCAAGAAAAGTCTTGTTTGATCCGAAAGCTTGCATAAAGAATCATGATTTTGTGTTTGTTTCCGCAAGGATTTCAAGCACGGGTACCCAGGTCCATGTTTCCAAACTCATAGCACGAAATCACTTGCACTATTAATAAAGAAGTTATGATTTTAGCATTCATGTTCTTCATGATCTTCATGTTCATCACGAGGGGAAACCCAGAGTTTCCCGACCTCTTCCTTGCATGTGGCCCTCGGGAACACACCTCGGCAAGGAGGTGTGGAACCTCGGCCTAGACCTGGTTGGTGCCCAGCATGTTTTCCGAAAACATTTGTGTATATGAGAGACTGTTTGAAAACGCATTCAATAGGCTTTGCCATGTGTTGTAGGACTTGGGCTTGTCTCGACCCACGTGTGAAGAAACGATGTGAGTGGTATTTTTAATAAAGCTATGCTTACACTTGCTTCTAATAATCTCGTCTTGCCTTGTTTTGAAAAGTACTTGATCTAGCATGAATGAGCTATCCCTATTTTGTATATCAAATGCTATCTTTTTTGATGACTTGTCTTGACAGTCCTTAGTGCTAGAGGACTATAACTTTGCAGCCACAGCTTGTTGACAGTCCTTAGTGCTAGAGAGACTCTAAACTTTTGCAGCACAGCTTGTCTTGACAGTCCTTAGTGCTAGAGGACTCTAAACTTTTGCAGCACAGCTTGTCTTGACAGTCCTTAGTGCTAGAGGACTCTAAACTTTCGCAGCACAGCTTGTCTTGACAGTCCTTAGTGCTAGAGGACTCTAAACTTTTGCAGCACAGCTTGTCTTGACAGTCCTTAGTGCTGAGGACTCTAAACTTCGCAGCACAGCTTGTCTGAAACTCTTGTCTGATATGTCATCACCCCTTGAAATAAATAGACGTTATTAACAACAAGGAACATGAAAGCCGGCAAATGAACTTGATTTCCCTCTTGATCGAAAAGTATGCTATGTATAGTTTTGAAAGAAATCTTGGATATCAATCATGCAAAACCTTTATTTCTAGTATCATTCACTGAGTATCCAAGCTCACCTCTCTCTATTATATGTAGGTGATGAACAAGAAGGCATTGAGGCCTAGACGTGATTGCCGATGTGTTTTGGGTGCTTTGCCGACATGTTTTGGATTTGCGTTTTGCATCGTCTTGAAGATATGCTTCTCGGCTATGTTTTTTTGTTTGTTTTGGCATATGTCGGCTTGAGAAGCCTTTTGGTCAGGATGTATTTGTGTTCCATTTTGTCTTTTCTTCCGGCCTCAGCTTAGATGTTTGATGTATGGCATTCCATTGGACTTATGCACGGCTCTCATGGACAACTCGGTTTATATGTATATTTTGCTTCCGCTCTTGTAAGCCCCATATTTCATACTCTGATTGTGTGTGATTTTTGTAAGACGGCCTTCGGTAACCTCGGGTTACTGGCCATCGCGGCACCAAACTACTAGGGGCGGTTTGGGGGCGTGACAGACTCAGAGTACTAGGTAAGCTTTTACGCTTTAGCATACCGCATCATGCTTACCATGAGGCTAACTGTTTAATTGATATAACTGCCTGAATGCCTGTGAGTGAAGGTTGGATTACTTGAATTGGAACAATTCATTGAAATGCGAGTTTTAAGCCCATTTGAGAGTGGCAAAATCATGTTTTCTTAAACTCACTTAAGGGTGGCAAATCCAAGTCTTAGCATACTTGCGGGTAGCACCTTCAAAACATTTTCAAACAAACAAACATGAAATGTTTTGTTCTAACTTAGGCGATCTAGTCTATACTTGTATGTTGTGCACATCACATAGTAATTCTAGGCTAATCAACCGGAATAAAAACGCATGTGTTTTTAAAAACAAAATATCATGTTAGTAAAGGCCGATCCTTTGATCAGGCGAGCGGGGGTGCTCATTTCATGACTTTCCCCTCTCGTACCCAAGTTCCCAAGCCGAGGCAACTTTGGTGATGACGGACACGTGGCCTTAGGCACGAGTCAGGGTTTCCTAAATTTCCCAAAATAAAACATTTAGGTGGCGACTCTGTATCTGGCAAAGCAATCCATGTTTAGCACTTCTTTATAAAAATTAGTTTTCCAAAACGATTTGCCGGATTTGGACACTTTGGTGATTTATCGGTCTTGCATTGCACTTTGCAAGATTAAATTTAGAACCGTGACATTGAGTTCGAACTGTAGTAGCCTAATGAACAAACGGGATTTTCGCGTCGTTCGCGCGCGAAGCCCGGGACGTTCGGGCACGTCTACAAGACCTGAGGCCATTCTGTTATATGTGGGCCCGAGGCCGTTTTGTTCTATGTTGAGCCTGAGGCTGTTCTGTTATATGTGAGCCTAATGTCGTTCTATTCTATGTTGGGCCTGAGGCCGTTCTGTTAGCTGTGGGCCTAAGGCCGTTCTATAAATGTGAAATGGGTAATGGTATGAATGCTCCAACTTGAAAAGTGTTGTTTTTATCAGCTTGCTTTCTTTACATACAAAGCTATTCATTTACATCTCCTCACTTTACTATTATTCACTGAGCTTCGCTCACTTCTTATGTTATATGTATGTAGGTGAACAGCAAGGAGAACGGCCTTAGGGTTAGCCCCAGGACTTGCTTTGGTGAACCCGTTTTGTCAAGCCTATGTGGTGGTGTCTTGTTAATCTGTTAGTGCTAAGCCTTAGTTAAGCCTTTTGTCTATTTGCTTTGCTAAGAGGCTTTTGTGAACTTGTAATTAACTAATTAAGGTTTTGTTGTACTTATCTTGTGTTGTTGTACTTAACTTCTGGTTGAAATCATACATGTATATGGATATGACATATCTTGATCATTTAGGCATTGCTCAATGGACATCATACGTGCGTTATTTGCTTCCACTTGGGCACCATGATTAAAAATATTTTGTACATTGTATGAGGCCGTAGGTAATCAAGTGATTGCTAGCCAGTTATGAACTAAACTTTTAAGGGTGAGTTTGGGTCATGACTAATCCATCCAAAGCATTTAATATAACCTGTACTTTGTAAGAATCATTTAAACCAACAAAATCAAGTGAATCATGAACAGTAAACACAACTCTTCCAATGAATCCATTCTGAAAATATCGAAGCAAACACAACTCTTCCATTCAGCAACAATGACTAAAAAAGGTTATGAAATTTAAGGTACAACCCTTTGTGTAAAAAAAGAAAAAAGAAAAAGAATGGGCAACCAAAAATGATATGAAAAATGCTAAATAAACTTACATTACAGCTGAATAGCTAGAGAAACCAGCTACAATAATCATACTGTACTACAAAGGGCATCATAATTCCATTCCTTGACCAAATTCTTCAATTGTTTTTGTGGCGAGCATATGAATATCCACAAATGCACTAAATGATGCACGAAGAAATCTTGCTTTAACTACTTCAAAATGCTTGTACAATACGAGGATGGAAAGGTAAAAAAATCATAATGGAAAGAATGGCACAAACTTATGCATTGTTCACATATTTTTCTTTCGGATAATTATTTTAGAAGAGATTAATACAATTATACAACTATTTTTGATAAATAAGGAACTCACACAGAAAGCTTTCCATTAGATACAGTCATCTGCCTTTTCACTTTGTCTGCCTGCAACTACAGTTAAATATAAAATTTATTAACATCAGATTGATTGAAGAACAATAATCGAGGAAAGCTGGTCGGAGTTAAAGCATCATGAGACAACACCTCATTGTCAACAGCCAATGCTGAGAAAACAAAAGAAATGATAGCTATTTAATATTTTGCCCGGCGATTAACTTCAAGGCCCCGATATTAGTCGAGGCACGCATAAGCTGAGCCGGATACCCGGTTATCAAAAAATAATTTAATTAATTTAATTAATTAAATGAAATATTTATGCTACCAATACAGCAGAACCATCCAAGGAATTGTCTTACACTATATTCCATAAATCAATATCAAAATCAAGATGCACACATGCGCATGCATTGCATTTATGTATGCACACACTATATTCCATTTGTCTTTACATTTGGCATTACAATGCATTGCAATGGTTGCTGTCCTATTTCTCAATAAAAGCTCCATGTCCATGGCAACTTCTCAAATCTTTTCAGAACAAAGTTTTGGATTTGATCAAATGGCCAAGAACTTAAGTCACAAAAAATATAAAGACAAATGGAGAGATCAACAGCTGAATTTGAAAATTCAATTACAGTCCCAGATCACTCCTAGTTCAGAGGCCATAAGGCCCTCATCAAGGAATCAACTTCATTGACTCTGTACATTAATCTTTACTCTCTTGCCAAAACATTATTCTCGATTGGTCTTGTACAACTACAAAGTCTCAGTCTCTTGCATGTGCACATGTGCTTTTGTGACTGCAAGGTTGTTTGGTCTAGTGCATTGCCAGTTAAAGCTTGCATCAAGTTCACTACGAATCTCTCATTCAGTTAATAGAATATTACAAAAGAGATGTCCTTTCCCCATAGAGCTGTTGAAAGACCAGAAAAAGAACTTTCAAGTGATATCTTTCCTTTTCTTTTCTTTTTTTGATAAATAAAGATTTAATCCATAAGATCATATCACAAACTTTAGTCCAGAATACCAATTTAATTATATGTTGCTATTTAGAGTTCCAGTGAGTGCGGCAAATAGAATTGAGAAATTGATGAGGGATTTTTTGTGGGAATGTAGTGGGAAGGAAGTGGTGAAGTGAAAAGAACCATTTGATTAATTGGGATGTGATTTCTCTCCCTAAGTGTATAGGGGCTCTTGTTTTGGGCATATTGTATAGAAAAATATTGTCTTGCTTAGTAAGCAGTTATCAAAATTTCCTGTTGAGTGCAATTCTTTATGGTATACTAATATAAATAAATAAATAACAACAAAGTAGAGGCTTACTTGTTGCAGAAGTTCTGCTTCTGTTGAATATGGAGACCACTGCAACAGCATGGAAAGATTAGACATGAAATGTTCTTTACCACAATGGTTTAAAGTTTCCAATTTGCCAGTACATATATTAACCTCATAATCCACCTGCAATTTATACAAGAAGTTGGGGGTTTAATGCATGTAATGTATTGGTAATCAACTTAGGATATTCGGAAATTTGTTATCCCAATTCTTCTTCCATTTCTGTACCTATCTTGTTGTGTACTGCAATAGCTTGAACAAATGCAGCCAAAGTATCTCTTCCATAAATTAAAAAAATAAATTAAATTAAATTTTAAAAAATGCAGCCAGAGTTTGTTGAGAAAAAAATGTAGCCAGAGTATCTGTTACAAAAAAAAAAAAAAAAAAAATGCAAAGTATTCACAAAATTGTGTCAAATTGAGGTACATGTCTACCCCTTCATGGAACATGGATAGTCAACAAAAAGAATGATGTGTAATTGTTGGAAAAATTTCTAAAATTAAAGTCATAGTTTTTGGATATTTTCAAAATCTTCCTTGTTTAGATTTGGATAGTTTGGGAGCTTGTCCCACAATGGAAAGAGAGGAAGGCACAACATGATTCATAAGGGTTGCCACACACATTTAGAGGGGTGTAGCCAGGCCTATAAATAGACAGTGGTCTACGCCACTCATCTTAGAATTTGGAATCCATATCAGTGTCTCTGTTGTGTCTGTGCTTATCAACCAAGAAAATTTTAAACCAACAAGTTGACAAATGACACCACCATACACCATTCAGTCAAAATTTAAATCAATAGATAACAGTCCAGATAGCTAACCAAACGCCACCCATTTGTTCAGAAATCCACCCTATTTGAAACACATTTTTTGGCTTTCAACATTAAATCAGGGCAAGGTATGGATTAGGAGGGCATGGCCCAGATTTGTATACATATGCCCCTAAATCTTCAAATATCATTATGGGAGTGTGTCCATTTAATTAGCTTCATTTGCATACTGCTATGCCTTTAATCATTTAGGCAGAGATAGTTTGAGAGAGAACCACAAACAATTTGCCTCAAGATCCTGTCAACTACCACAGATCCCAAACCACATCTTGTTGATTACCCAACAAAGCCCTCACAAAAATGTATTCAAGATATACTTCCTATGCCATGAATCATTTGCTTATAAGGGTCTTCTTAATGAAATTCAAAGGACAAATTGTTGTTATGTCCCCAAGATTATCAGTTAATAAAACATTTTCTTCTCCCCTCAACATGGGTTAAAAATATAATGTCATGAACTAAAATTATGGAAAGATGTTGCAGACATATTACAAAAAATTACAAGCAAAAGTAACTAAATTCTTTGAATATCTAATTGGAAAACCTTTATGTGGATCCTAGAATAGAAACCAAAATGATTTACAAAATTGTAAATACATACTGACAAGGAAATTAATGAACATGTGAAAAATTAACTACCATAATTAACTAGTGCAAAAGAGACAGATACGGCGTTACTTTCCCTTGAGAAAAATAGAGCCCAAAGTGAAAATTAACTTCCATAATTCCATTGAATCATTATAACTTGAAGGACCCCAAGTTACTTCTGGAACAGCTCTGCAACCAAACAAGCTATTTGTGAACAATAATTTTCAAAAAAAAAATTGTCGAGGTGGGAAAACTTCATGATGAATTCACAAGACTTGGATATAATACATGTAGCGCAGTTACTGAGAAAATCAAGTAAAAAGAGAAGAACTCAAACATGTGAATCATAGATAAATTTCACTATTTAGGGCTAGAGAAAACCGAAGCTCCGCAACCGAATACATAGAAGAAATATTCTTAACACAAATATTTTTTTCTTCTTTTTTTTTTATCAATTTCTCGACAACCAAACAGATGCAAATAGGTAAAATCAGAAATTCTTGATAAAGCACAATAACAATGGCAAAAGGAACTCACTTATCAATGATTTGAACTGATCAATTGCTTCTCGATGTACACAATGATCGAAATTACGACTTGGAGCAACAAAAGTGTGGAATTAAGCAGAACTTGGAGCTCATATATGCTTCAAATGTAGAAAAAGAATAAAACCCTAAAATGATTTTATCAAAATTCTACAACATCAAAAATAAAATTAAACCCTAGATCCGCGATGGTGAGGGAAGAAAGAGAGGGATAGAGAGAAAGGAATACCTGTGTAACAATAGTTTGAGAAAGAGAGAAATAGAACTCTGTTTATTCAATCTCACTTACAATAGATACACACACTCCTTCATATATAGGAGATACACACACTCCTTTATTCAATCTCACTTACAATAGATACACACACTCCTTCATATATAGGAGATACACACACTCCTTCATATATAGGAGATGGGAAGATGCTAATGCTATACAGACACCATCATAGGAAAGGGACAAAAAGGAAAAGCAGCCGAAAGCACAATGCCACTACTGCCACTAACTATACATTAATCTAATCTATGTATATAGATTGTATATATTATCTATGTAGATATATTATATATATTAACAGCCCCTCAAACTCAAGGAGGATAGGTACTAACCAACTTGAATTTGGAGAGAGTAACAAAATAGGAAAGTAAACTAACAAAAATAAAATAGGATATGAGACACTGTATGGTTGTGTCAGATCGTTATTGAAGACACTGTGTGGTCGTGTCAAACCGATGTAGCAGCTAACCGAAATCAATGTCGAGACAGTTTACAGGGTCATGCCGGACCGTTGTAGAAGCTAACCGGAATCAATGTCGGGACAGTTTATGGGGTCATGCCGGACCATTGTAGGAGCTAACCGGAATCAATGTCGGGACAGTTTACAGGGTCATGCCGGACCGTTGTAAAAGCTGATCGGAATCAATGTCGGGACAGTTTACGGGGTCATGCCGAACTGTTGTAAAAGATTGTGGTGGTGCACCAAGGGGGCGACTCAGGGAGTGCGCCATGGAGTGGCTTGGGTGGTTCCCATGGTATATAACCATGCTCATTAGCTTGGGTGGTTCGCATGGTGTGTAACCATGCTCACCATGATATATGTATAACCCCCCCTCAAACTCAAATAGGTGTGAAGATAGAAACCTATTTGAGGTTGAAACAAAGGGATTAATAAAGTGGAGTAAAACAGCTCAACACAGAGTGAAGATGTTAAAAAAAAAAAAAAATTGATAGAAAGGGTTTTTTGTTTTTTTTTTTGTTTTTTTTTTTTTGTCGGTTGTGGTGTAAAATTGTGATCGGGGTTGATCCCGGCATGAAGAAATGACAAGTTTGTGGAATGAAAAACGAGTTGGTTGTGAATGGATTTTTTTTTTTTGGAATAGAAGCAGCCATCATTCAGTAATGCAGTTGCTAAAGAGAAATATTAAAAGAGAGTGGTGGAAAGAAAAGTTTAAAAGAAATGATGGGAAAGAAAAATAAATGTGTTTTTTTTTTGAAATAATAATAATAATATATAAAATAAAGTGTTGGAATCCACTGGAATCAATGAAGGCTAGTATGGTAATGTTGGGTAGTGGGGAACCGAGTGGGCTTTGGTCAGAGTATTGGAAAGAGGGTGATACATGGCCAGCAGGATGATTAGGTTTTGGTGGATGGAAAAAAAAAAAAAAGGGAGAGAGAGAAAATCTATTTGCCGGATTGAGAGAGAGAGTGGGTGTAAAGTGAGAGAGACTGGGGAAAAAGAGATTCATGGAGTTGTTCAGCAAAGCTGTTGTTCAAACTCAATCGGGTTGCCAAATTTTTTTTTTTTTACTGATCGAACTGCTTGGTTGCCGAGAAAATCTGTTTCATGGAGTCCAAATCCAAATCTCGCGGACAGACGTTGGGAGATTAATGATGCACATGCACAGATGGGTGTTCAATACTCCCGTTGATGCGGTTGGAACTCGATGTTGGAAGCGATGGTCGCCGGAGTTCCGATGGTAGCGCGGAAGACAGGCGGAACACAAATGAGCCGAATGGTCAGCTCCAAAATGAAGTAGTGGCGAAAACAGGGACTACAGTGAAGAGATTAACGAATGATGTCAAACCAGTAACATCAGGAAGCAACCTGGGCATCGAAATGCTTCCATTTGTCAACTTAAAAATGGTGATTCCCACATTATCAGTTAATAAAACATTTTCTTCTCCCCTCAACATGGGTTAAAAATATAATGTCATGAACTAAAATTATGGAAAGATGTTGCAGACATATTACAAAAAATTACAAGCAAAAGTAACTAAATTCTTTGAATATCTAATTGGAAAACCTTTATGTGGATCCTAGAATAGAAACCAAAATGATTTACAAAATTGTAAATACATACTGACAAGGAAATTAATGAACATGTGAAAAATTAACTACCATAATTAACTAGTGCAAAAGAGACAGATACGGCGTTACTTTCCCTTGAGAAAAATAGAGCCCAAAGTGAAAATTAACTTCCATAATTCCATTGAATCATTATAACTTGAAGGACCCCAAGTTACTTCTGGAACAGCTCTGCAACCAAACAAGCTATTTGTGAACAATAATTTTCAAAAAAAAATTGTCAGGGTGGGGAAATTTCATGACGAATTCACAGGACTCGGATATAATACATATAGCGTGGTTACTGAGAAAATCGAGTAAAAAGAGAAGAACTCAAACATGTGAATCATAGATAAATTTCACTATTTAGGGCTAGAGAAAACCGAAGCTCCGCAACCGAATACATAGAAGAAATATTCTTAACACAAATATTTTTTATTTTATTTTTTTTTTATCAATTTCTCGACAACCAAACAGATGCAAATAGGTAAAATCAGAAATTCTTGATAAAGAACAATAACAATGGTAAAAGGAACTCACTTATCAATGATTTGAATTGATCAATTGCTTCTTGAGTTACAGCTCCCGTTGCCCTTCTCTCTCATCAAATGTACACAATGATCGAAATTACGACTTGGAGCAACAAAAGTGTGGAATTAAGCAGAACTTGGAGCTCATATATGCTTCAAATGTAGAAAAAGAATAAAACCCTAAAATGATTTTATCAAAATTCTACAAGGACTCAGTTTCGATTGGGCCGAGTTGACTCACGAGTCTGGACACATTCATGGCAGAGAACAGAGTCTGGGCAAAGGAGGATGCAGTCGGAGACCGAGGAGGTGCCGCCAGAGTTAGAGAGGGATGCTCCTCAGCATAGATGCAGAGGATAAGTGGGATCCAACGGTTGTGATCGAATCTGGTGCTGCGGTGGTGAAGTGTTGTTGAAGAAGCTGTCATGGAAGAAGAAATTAGGAAATTTGGGTTTGTCCGGCGAGCGGCCAAGGCGAGGCTGCCGCCTGCCGGTGAAGCAGAATTACTAAGTTCTTAACCTAGCTCTAGCTCTGATACCATGTAATAATAGTTTGAGAAAGAGAGAAATAAAACTCTGTTTATTCAATCTCACTCACAATAGATACACACACTCCTTCATATATAGGAGATGGGAAGATGCTAATGCTATATAGACACCATCATAAGAAAGGGACAGAAAGGAAAAGCAGCCGAAAGCACAATGCCACTACTGCCACTAACTATACATTAATCTAATCTATGTATATAGATTATATATATTATCTATGTAGATATATTATATATATTAACAACCTGAATGTGGAATAGAGAAACAGAGAGGGGGAATAGAGAAAGGGGGACAACGAGATATATATATATATAGAGAGAGAGAGAGAGACTAGAGAGGGAGAGAGCGAGAAACAGAGAGAGAGAGACAGACAGACAGACAGATAGACAGACAAACAAACCGAGAGTGAGAGAGAGAACCTGTGAAGATGCGGCAACGGCGGCGGCGGCGGTGGCACTAGCAGTGGCGTGTGACGCTGGTCTGCGATGAGGTGAGATGGGGCGAGGTTTGGTGGTCACAAACTCGGTGTATGAGAGAGGGAACAAAAAGAGGTGTAAATTTAACCAGGGCGCCAATATTAAACCGGGGCGCTAAATTTGAAATGTCAAATATTTTAGTTCTTTGGCGACAAATAATTTTGTCGCTGAAAATAAATGTTTGGCGACTAAATTTTTGGTCGCTAAAAATAAAAAGTAAATTTTTGTTTTTAATTTGACAACTAAATAATTTTAGTAGTCAAAACTAACTCTACAACGACTAAAAATATTTTTTGTCATTGAAAATAAATTTTTGGCGACCAAAAGTTTGGTTGCCAAAGTGAAAATGTAAATTTTTTTTTTTTCATTCGGTGATTAAATAATTTTAGCAGCCAAACCTAACTGTACAACAACTAAAAGATATTTTAGTCGTTGAAAATAAATTTTTGGAAACTAAACTTTTGGTCGCTAAAAGATAAAAAGTAAATTTTTGTTTTTCATTCGACGACTAAATAATTTTAGTAGTCAAAATTAACTCTACACTGACATTTATTTATTTTTGTCGTTGAAAATAAATTTTTGGTGACTAAACAAAGTAAAATGTAAATTTTTATTTTTCATTTGGCGACTAAATAATTTTAGTAGCCAAAACTAACTGCACAACGACTAAAACATATTTTAGTTGTTGAAAATAAATTTTTGGTGACCAAAAAAATGTAAATTTTTTTTTATTTGGCGACTAAATAATTTTAGTAGTCAAAATTAACTCTACACTGACATTTATTTATTTTTGTCGTTGAAAATAAATTTTTGGTGACTAAACAAAGTAAAATGTAAATTTTTATTTTTCATTTGGCGACTAAATAATTTTAGTCGCAAAAATAACTGTACAACAACTAAAAGATATTTTAGTCGTTGAAAATAAATTTTTGGAAACTAAACTTTTGGTCGCTAAAAGATAAAAAGTAAATTTTTGTTTTTCATTCGACGACTAAATAATTTTAGTAGTCAAAATTAACTCTACACTGACATTTATTTATTTTTGTCGTTGAAAATAAATTTTTGGTGACTAAACAAAGTAAAATGTAAATTTTTATTTTTCATTTGGCGACTAAATAATTTTAGTAGCCAAAACTAACTGCACAACGACTAAAACATATTTTAGTTGTTGAAAATAAATTTTTGGTGACCAAAAAAATGTAAATTTTTACAAAGAGGGGGAATAGAGAAAGGGGGACAACAAGATATATATATATATATAGAGAGAGAGAGAGAGAGAGAGAGACTAGAGAGGGAGAGAGCGAGAGAGAGAGAGACAGACAGACAGACAGACAGACAAACAAACCGAGAGTGAGAGAGAGAACCTGTGAAGATGCAACGACGGCGGCGGCAGTGGCACTAGCAGTGGCGTGTGACGTTGGTCTGCGATGAGGTGAGATGGGGCGAGGTTTGGTGGTCACAAACTCGGTGTATGCGAGAGAGAACAGAAGGAGGTGTAAATTTAACCAGGGCGCCAATATTAAACCGGGGCGCTAAATTTGAAATGTCAAATATTTAAGTTCTTTGGCGACAAATAATTTTGTCGCTGAAAATAAATGTTTGGCGACTAAATTTTTTGTCGCTAAAAATAAAAAGTAAATTTTTGTTTTTAATTTGACAACTAAATAATTTTAGTAGTCAAAACTAACTCTACAACGACTAAAAATATTTTTTGCCATTGAAAATAAATTTTTGGCAACCAAAAGTTTGGTTGCTAAAGAGAAAATGTAAATTTTTTTTTTTTCATTCGGCGATTAAATAATTTTAGCAGCCAAACCTAACTGTACAACAATTAAAAGATATTTTAGTCGTTGAAAATAAATTTTTGGCAACCAAACATTTGGTCGCTAAAAGATAAAAAGTAAACTTTTGTTTTTCATTCGATGACTAAATAATTTTACTAGTCAAAATTAACTCTACACCGACATTTATTTATTTTTGTCGTTGAAAATAAATTTTTGGTGACTAAACAAAGTAAAATGTAAATTTTTATTTTTCATTTGGCGATTAAATAATTTTAGTCGCAAAAATAACTGTACAACAACTAAAAGATATTTTAGTCGTTGAAAATAATTTTTTGGTGACCAAATGTTTGGTCGGCAAAGATAAAAAGTAAATTTTTGTTTTTTATTCGGCAACTAAATAATTTTAGTAGTCAAAACTAACTCTACAGCGACTAAAAAAATTTTATCGTTGAAGATAAAATTTTGGCAACCAAAAGTTTGGTCGCCAAAGATAAAATATAAATTATTTTTTTTCATTTAGTGACTAAATAATTTTAGGAGCCAAACCTAACTGTATAGTGACCAAAAATTTTTTTTGTCGCCGATTGCGCCATTTTTAGCAACCAAAAAAATTTTTTAGTCACCAATTGTCGTATTTTTAGGGACTACTTTTTTTTTGGGTCAGCAATAATCAATATACCCAAACTAAAAAAAATTAATAGCTAAATCTTGTACTTTTGCCGACGAATATAATTTTTGGTCGCCAATATCACAACTTTTGACAACTAAATTTTTTTTAGTCGCCAAATTTGGTCGCCAAAAATGTCATTTCTTGTAGTGAATTTTGCTGTCACTAGACATATTTTTGCTTGAGTTTGAACTTTCTTTAGTTTGCAACTCTTTCATATTAAAATCAAGCAAAAATTGTGAAACTAATAAGAAAATGATATAAATAATAGAATATAAACCTAGAAATTAAAATAATATGAGAGATGTTTTGAGAGTATTGCATTGCAAGTAATAGAAGAGTAGAGAGTGTTTACAAGCAAGGTGACAATAATGAAAAAATTAAATTTACGTTTTTTTTAAAACTCAAATACATTGAGATTTTTTTGTTCTTAAAAGATGTGTATAATCTCTTATAATATTGTAGATATTGCTGAATGTCCATTATAATCATTTTAATTTAAAATATAATTGTCATTAAATTAATATTTTATTAAATGTGTGCCCGAAGCTAATTATGAGCATGGAAATAGAATTTCATTGGGTAAATTACAAGTACACCCCCTAAGGTTTGCTTAAAATACGAATTGTCTCCTATGATTTGAAAAATTATAAATACCTCCCTGTCTGAATTTTTTATTTAATAAAATTAATTAAAAAAGTGAAATTTCTAACTATTCACTTATACAATAATAAAAGTACCTGAATTATTAATTGAAATAAAATTTTAACATTATTAAAAATTGTTAAATAACTTGATGATTTATTAATAAAATGACCTATTTGTTATGAAATTAGAAACCTTAAAGGTCATAATGTAATTTTTAGGGTAAATTACATTGACACCCCCTAAGATTTATGTTTATTACAATTCTCTCTTACCTTTTGGGAATCACATCTCCCTCCTTGAGGTTTAAAGTTTCATTATAGATTACTCCCTCCAGCAATTTAATTTTTTTAAATACCAATTTTGCTTTCACTGGGTAAATTACCAATTTTGCCCTATCGGTTAGTATTAGTTGAGAAAAAAAATTCATTGGAAACAAAATTATTTGAAAAAAAAGTAATTGAAAAAAAATTTCATTAGTCAAATTTTTAAATTTCTGTTTAAAAACCAACGTAAGATAAAAATTACACTAACATCCCTTGAGGTTTATGTTTATTATACTCGAAAGATGCAAATTATATAAAATGATAATTATTTTTTATTTTTTATTTCTTAACCAAATTAATTTTTAATTTCTAAAAATCAAACCATACATAACTTAAGAATATTTTGATAAATCATTTCTTACGTTGGTACCTTATTTAATTATTTGTTAATTTTACGACATTTTTACCATCTAAAACCTGTTTGGTAACCATTTTGTTTTCAGTTTTCAATTTATATTTACAAAAATTTAAAAACTATCATAAAAACTTGTTTGATAATTTTTTTGGTTTATAAATGATTGTCTCAGTTTGTAAATTTGAGAAAAAAAACATAAATTCAAAAAATGAGTTTACGTTGGTTTTTAAATAAAAATTTAAAAATTTGACTAACAAAATTTTTTTCCAATTAATTTTTTTTCAGATAATTTTTTTCCAATTAATTTTTTTTTCAACTAATACTAACAAAGGTGGCAATTGGTAATGCTACTTAAAACCTTGGAGAGGGGATTGTAATTTCTAAAATATGAGGGGTGTCAATGTAATTTACCCAATAAGGGCAAAATTAGTATTTAAAAAAATTAAATTGCTAGAGGGAGCAATTTGTAATGAAACTTTAAATCTCAGGAAGGGGGATGTAAATTTCAAAAAGTAAGAAGGAAACTGTAATAAACATAAATCTCAGGGGGTGTCACTATAATTTACCCTAATTTTAAAATCACAAAAAGTAATTGATTCTACTTACACCACTCTTTTATGTCCTTACACCCCCCATCTCATTACACCACTTAAAAAAAAATTGAATTCTTATTACACCTAATAAAGTACCAAAATAAACTCTAGGATAAAAAACTCTTCAAAACCCATTTATTTACACCCATACTTTTGGAGGGAAAAGAGAACGGCGCAGAGAGAACGACGTAGGGAAGAAGAGTAGACAACACCGGTGTGGAGGCGTTCGGATGGCGTGGATGATTGAACTCACTCTTCTTATTTGCCAAAGGTAAGTGAGGAAACTCTTATTTCTCTCTATATTGATAGACATAGATATGTGTATCTATCTATATATCTATATCATCTATGTCATCATTTTTTGCGAATAGACAAAAAATAGCACATTCCCATCATAGCTTTGGTGGTTTTCATCTTGGAATTTAATTGGGTTTGTGGTTTTTGGTGCTAGTTTTGAATGTTGAAATTCAAATTTTGGTTCTACGTTTTATCAGATTTTTGATCCTCTGTTTCGCCC